ATCATTGTATTTGTGTAATCAAGTTTTGATTAGTGGATTAAGACCTCATTGGAGAGAGACGAAATCACCTTGGCGGGTGGACTAGAGTAGTTTGAGTTCAACACCAACGTGTCTACTATTTTATTTTTGAAAACCCTAATTCAAACCCCCCTTCTTCTGTTTTTCCATTCTTCACTTACAAGTTGGGAAGAAGGAAGAAAAGTTCTTCAACTTTGTCCTTGCGAGCTCAAGTCCAAAAATTGAAAGGAGAGAAACTTATTTGGCTTGGAACATTATTGACACTTAGTGAATTTACAAATTATGAGCAGCAAGTCTGATTTCTTCATGTCCATTTTTGAGGATCCATTTGAATGCAATTCAAAAAGTTGTCAACATGAGAATTAAAGATCAAAGCTTCCTCTTAAACTTTGATTCAAGGATCATCTCAAATGGTCAAGTGTGGAGAGATATAGTGATAAGTGTATGAAGCCCTATGTTGTTAACATGCCCAACATGAGAAGCCTGCGCGTGCATCAGGCTTGGACTTTTATCAAACACCTTTTGGGAACATGTTCATCATCATTTTTCTTATAGAATTAATCATCATTTTGAAAAGTGATCAACATCAAAGTTGAAAATTAGAGATTCCTCTTCAAGTTTGGTTCAAACTTTATTCCAATTGGTGCATCATAGAGAAAGATAGTTTGCTTTGAGTTCAAGGGTCCACATGGTCAAATTCTGGCTAGCATGGCATGGTGTGTGTGTGTGTAGAAGGCCTGGCCAGTCCATGTTATATCATTTTCGTTCCAATTTTTCAAGTCTTTACAAACTTCATTTCCAAATTTTATCAACATCAATGTTGAAACTTATGACCTTGTCTTTCTAATGATCCAATAATTATGAAAAACACACGAGGGAATAAATAGATATTGAGTATTGGTCATGGCTAGTCCAATGTGCATACATGTCAAGGTAAGAAGGCATATTTGTTTTTGTACATGTGAAGATAATTTTCTGCATGATTTTTATCATGCACTTTATGCACACGGTGCATATCATGATGGCCTTATCTTCTTTCCAAATGAAGCCAAGCAATGCACATGGTCATGCATGCTCACATATTTCTCATTTGTTTTCCCAGAATAGCAATATTCTCTCCACTCACTCTTTACACCTATGTGATGAGGATTTCCAGCTCACACTCACGCTTTACTCACTACCTCACACTCTTCATTCATTCCTCAAAATGCAAGTTGTTATCTCCTTTTTCATTTTTGACATATTTTTCATTTATTCCCTCCAACGGTCTTGAAATCATAAAGACCTCATTACCCTCAAAGAAATATTGTTCACCACTCTTCCTCGCTCTATAAAAGTAACCTCACTTCACTCTCATTCCTCACACACTCTCCATTACTCACAAATCAGATCCAGATTTTCTTCTTCATTCTAAAAATAATTGAGCTCTCTCTCTCTCTCTCTCTCTCTCTCTCTCTCTCTCTCTCTCTCTCTCAATTCTCTCAAGCATTCTTTAAACCAATGCTTGAATACTCATTTGGAGATAAGGAAAGAAGATCATTGGGTTTCTATTGAGCTATAATTAGAGGAACTAGTGAATTTATTTTTCACTTAGAGGTAAGTTCCTTTGAACTCTGATTTATCATTTTAGCTTTCATTATTGCTTTGAATAATGATCATGATGGTTTAGCTGGCCGGACTATAGGTCTGATGTATATTTGTGTGTGAATTGAAGGTTGAATCGTGTTTTCCAATTTCTTTGCAAGTTGTATGAACTTCATGTGTCAGTGACGTCATGCTCATTTTTTGCTCCAATGTTGCTTTATTTGAAAAATCCATGAGCATCACATGAATCCTTGTAATTTTGTAAACAACTTTGATGTTTGAATCGTGCAATTTGGTTGATAATTGAGATAGATAGCTGGATTTGAAATTTGTATGATAAATCTTTTTTTTAACATGTTCATAATTTCAGGTGTTAAGTAGTTTTCGTGCCCTAATTTCTCTATGATGCATGATCCATTTTCAAAGATTCTTGTTGCTATCGTGTTCTTTATACTTTGGTCTTGAATTTTGGTGTTTACATCGTGCATTTTTGTTGAGAAACGAGAAAGATATGTTGCTCTGAAGTTGGTGTTATAAAACTGTTAGGGTTTATCTTTGGCAGGGACGATTACGTGTCCATTTTTGATTGAGCATGTTCAAGTTTCTTTCACAATGCTTTTTGTTAGCATCATGTGTTATAGATCTGTTCATAATTAAAATTTTATTTCAATTTAATTATTTTGAAAAAATTATTTTTTAATAGCTACACTTGTTCAAAAATTCCACAAAAAATATTTTAGACTTTATTTTTAGTCTACTTTCTGATTATAAATTTTATTTTAATATTTTGTCATTTTTAGTATACGCTCTTCATTTGGATATTACCAACGTCCCAATTACTCATTAATTAGTAATATTTGTAGAAAAAATCGTCCTAGTGCAGCATCGCGTGACAACTACTTCCGGATTACTCCGTCATAGTCTCTACACAAGACCTAAAAAATCCAGGATAGGTTAATGGTTCTATGGCTCTCAGCTTCTCTGGCTCCCAGGTCGAAAGCAGTAACGTCTTCCCGATTACTCGGTAAACAAAGCTACATTCAAAGGGACCTCCAGTGAGTGGGGGATCTCATGCATCCTTCTGCGAGATTACTCCCTCAAAGTTAACGTGACTATACCGCCCGTCCTAATCCTAAGTGTAACCCCAAGTCCAGGTATAGGACTTATCAAATATAATCACCCAACCCAACATCACAAAAGATACAACATATCCAAAATATGTGAGTAGCAACAGTATAATGTAATATATACAAAAGAAATCAATAAAGCAATAAAGAAATAAAGCGGTAAAGAAAATAAAGTAAATAAATAAACAACCAAAGTAACAAATAAACAAAACTAGGATTGACTTGCATTGGCTCCCCAACAGAGTCTCCAGCTGAAGCTACCAACAAAAAACACAGCCGGCACCAAACTTTATTTATCCCGAAGGAAGGGGAAATATCGAGAAAACCACAAGAGAATGGATAAGATGGTCTTGCAACCAAAAGAGAGGGTACAGAAGTCGATTATGCAAGGGGAAGGTATTAGCACCCCTCACATCTGTTATACTCAACATGATCCATTTTGATTATTTGCTTCTAAGGGTGTTTATCTATAACAATACTTGCTAAGGGGAATGAAATGGTTTTTTATTAGTGTGTTCGTGAGGGTCTCACGACCCTTTTTCTACGTATCCCGTGAAGGAACCAGTACACCTTAGTTCTTCTAGAAAATGTTGGTTTGTTGGTGGTTTTTAGTGGGTGACGTTAACGCAAGCATTCTAGCAATAGGCACGACCGATATCACGGTAGAATGGAGATAACATGCCCTTTTGAGGAGATATTTGATTTGTTGAATATTTTGTTAAGTGTGAAATGGGTTTGAATAACAATTAAGTGTTTTTGTATTTTTGATTAGGGATAGAAAGTTGTGTTTTAATTTACAAAAGAAAAAAGTCTAACAGGAGACTAAAAACCTAGTTGTTGTCATACAAAGTGTAGACTTAAAGTTGAGTGTAGAAGCGAAATTCTATCCTAAAGTTATCATACATAGTTTCGACCTTAATGTCTAATTCAACATGAAACGATCAATATGAATTTAATCAATTCGGGGAATCACTTAAGGGTACATATAACCAAGTAATTAAACGAAGATTAATTTCTTAAATTTTTTTATCAAGTAACTAAAAGAAAATAATACTATAATATTTTTATGATTTTTTGTGAAAATAAATATTAAAACCTAATCCTAAATTATTATGAATCGCAAAATCGGGGAATTCTAAAAAAAGGGAAATCAAAATTTTAATACTACTATATTCTAATATATTTCTATGTTTTTAGTAAAGAATTAATCAAAAGAAAATTAAACTTCTAATCTAATATTTTTGGAATTTTTATTATATAAAGACAATTAAAATAAAACTAAAACCTAATTTTATCTTTATGATTTTTTTTTTTGTGAATTTAAAATGAAACAAAAAAAACTTGAAACTTAGAATATTAAAGAAAAAGAAGTAAAGTGAGGAGTTAAACTCATGTCCCCCGGGTTACAGCCCTCTTTCCTTGCCACTAAACCAAGTTGTTTTTCCTGTTATATTTACAACTTTAATTAAAATAAAATAAAAGAGTTTGGGTTAAAAGGAGAAAAACAGAATAATGGTAAAAATGTCCTAGGGGGTTTTGAAATCGTGACCTCAAGCATTCACACAGACGCACTAACTGCTGCACCATCTGTTCATTTGTGTATTATAATCCTTCGAATTAATTAAGTAACAAAAACAAACAATGGGTTTAAATGGAGACAAAAATGCAGAAAAGTGCTAAAAATGCCCCTAAGGGGTCTCGAACCCAGTACCTCACGCCTATAGACTAATGCTTCAACCATTATTCCATGTTACTCATTAGTTATTTATGTGTTTCAATTAATATAAAGAATAAACTTATGAAATGGGTTTAGCCAAAAATCAAGCCCAAACCTGGATCTGTTTTTTAGGGGAATAGAGAGGGTTTGAAAACCCTAAATGAAGAGAGAAGGGCGCCGCAAATTGCACATTGGGAAGGGAAAGTCATTGATTGATTATTAATTCCAAAAATTAGAAACAAAAATACTTTCTCATGATTTCCTTCTTCGTTCTCATTCCCTCACTCTTTTCTCTTTCAATTCTTTGTTTCTTGTAACAACACAACAGAACTCAAACCTTTCCGTTCCAATTATTCCTCTTTTCTCTCAATCAAATCTCTCTCTCTCTCTCTCTCATACCTCTGTAAACCAACAACGACTTCTCTTCAAACTCTTGCGACAACAACAACAAAATCTTATGGCTTCCACAAAATTGGAAGCTTCAAATCATCAAACAATAACAAGCATGATGGAACTGATTGAAAATAGAGGGAGAATATACTAAGAAGAAAAAAATGTTACCCACTGAGAGGAGGACTTCTCCAGCCGTCCTCAGGTAAGACTCTGAATCTCCCTCCTTTTGCTTCTGATTTCATTTTTTCGACTTTGTCACGTGTATTATTTATCAAACTGTATGCACGTGTATCAGACTCCTGCTTTGAGTGTGTTACAGAGTCGTTGTTGATTTAGATTCGAATTGGTTGATTGTTAGAGGTGTTATGGGAATTTTTTTGCATGGTATATTGTGTATAGTCACGGTAATAGGGTGTTTGAGTTTGAAGTTTTCTGTTGAATGTTGGTTTTATTGCATTTCTGTTGTTGCTGTATAAATGTTGCGTGATTATTGCAGATAAGAGGAGAGGTTTGTGAGACAGTTGAGAGGTTGTTTAGTGTGGTTGAAGTTTGTTGATACAAACAAGTAGAGTTGCTAAATTTCTTTTTGTTGTTGAATATTGATGAGTGTTTTTTGAGAAATGTTGCAGTGTTACGAATTATGCAAGTATGGTGGAATTATAATCCAGTAATGGTTCTGTGTTAAGGGCTTGAGGGAGTATGGTTTCTACTTTATTATTGAAGAGGATGAGAGTGAGATTTGAGTGAAGTCATAGTGTAAGGGTCAATTAGTGAGGGGTTTTCATCGTCTAATTTTTCCTTCCTTTCTTTTTTTTTGTTTCTGGTGTGATCTGAACCTGTTATATAGATGGATTAATGGGTGTTTTTGGGGGGAAAGGTTTGAGAAATTTAAACATTTTTGATAGCCTGATTTTACACTTTTTGCTGCATATTGGTTTTGGCTATTTTGATGTATTTTTTGGATGGTTTTGACAGGGTTTTGGACTGCTTTGGGGTAGCAGTAACATAGCAGGGCAGCGGGTTAAAGTGGAGCAGCATTGCAGCAGGTTTTTGGACGGGTTAGGCAATATGGCATAGCAGGGCAGCAGTGCAGGCTGGTGGACTTGTGTAGGTTTTGGCTTGTTGTTTTGTAGGTTTGTAGCAGGCCGGTTTTGGATAGTTGGTGCAGGGATTTGCAGGGCAGATTTTGTCTTGAGTTGGTTTGAATATTAGGCAAAGAGATGTTTTATGGAGAAAGCATGAAGAATTAGTTTAGGGTATTAGTTTTTGGTTTGGATGTAAACTTGGAATTTTCTTGTAATGGCTATGATGTAATACAGATGATAGCTTTGAACTTGTAATGAGAACTTCTTAAATGTAATGGCTTTTGGTGTAATGACCTTTGTAATGGTGATGAGTTTTTTTTGGTAATGTACTTTAATTGATGAATGATGTAATTCAAAATTATGAATGTAAATCTTGAAGAGAACTTTAATGAACTTTGCAAAATTGGATCTTTGAATATGGTATGAATTTTGATTGAAGGATGGTAGACATGAATGAATCAATGATGATGATGAACGATGCTTAGAACATGAATGAAACTCACTCTTTGAATTCAAGATGAACTTGGATAATGAATGAGCTCTTGTTTGAATGTAACTTCGAGTGAATCTTGATGAAAGTTCAAATCTCAATGATAAAATTCAAATCACCTTGAACTCCTAACTTTAATTTCCCCAAATTTAAGTTGACTTGCAATTGAAGTAACAAGTGTTTGATGAGAATAAAAAATTGTACTGGTCAAAATAAGTTGTAACTTATACTTAAGTCCACCATAATGAACAATGCCTTCGAAGAAACTTATTATGAGTTGAAAGTAGAAGTTAAGAAATGCCTAAGTGAAAACCTGACATATAATGTTTCAGTAAATTTCATGGCTTTCCAAGGCAATTCGACTTTGACTTTTGAGGCAATCTCATAGACAACTCTATTTGTGATACTTTGCAAAAAGAATCGCCTCAGAACATCAAAAAGCGAGGAAGTTATGATCCTCAAAAGTTTGACAATATCTTCTTGGAATTAGGTCAAATTCGCAAAAGGACCTCTAAAGTATTCAAATTTTTGATGATCCTCCGCACATAATCAGCTCTTGACTTGTAAAGAGAAGTTGGAGATGACGTCAAGGAGAGTCATACGCAAAAAAAAACCTAAAAAATATTGAATAATGAAGAAGTTACAATCATTTGAACTTGATCTTGAAAATGTTGAATTTTGGTCGAAGCATTTTGAATTGACTTACAAACTTGATCCATCCTCGCATTTCGAGACATATTGATGCACATATGGACTAGTGGTGATGAAACCTTGACTGTGCTTTTTGTTAAAGGCCAAACATTGATGAAGTAGCCTTAGCCATACTAAACACTTGAAGGGTTTAAACCCTAGCTGAGGCATGATGCTAACTAACCCTGATTTTTAATTACACGTAGGGAAATAAACCCTAATCCAAGATCTTAATGAATTTTTATGAGAAATAACCTTGTACATAGATGAATAAGAAACTTATGATAACCATATTTCAAAACCTGACTCTACTGTCCACTGCCCAAGGAGGGGCCAAGGAAATCAAATATAGAATGTAGAAGCCTCAAACCAAGATTAAACCCTAATTAGCACGACCTCTGATTCTAAACCCCTACTTTACTGAATGAAGGAATGATGTGTGAATGACCTAATGAGAATGATTCAAATGAAATGCAAAGCCTAAGCCAGATTAAAGTGAAAAGGTAGGACAAATTTGGGGTATGACATACATATTTGAAATGGCCAGAACATGAAGGTTTTGATTCTACTGTTTCTTGATCACAGACACAAAAGAAAATGTTTAAACCAAAGCATCACTTACAAATTTCACAAAATTATACCGTTTCACAAAATGTCCAAAGGTGTCAGAACCTCTGGAATTCCTAACAAAAGGGAACTCATAAAGTTGGTACCTAAGGATCAAATAATCTACATTACATATTTCCTTGATGGCGCCACTGAAACACCAGTCATGGTACCTTGGCAGTGAATGCTCGCGACACATGACGGGTGAAAGAAATATGTTCCATGATTTGGAACTTAAGTCTGGAGGCGTTGTTGGTTTTGAAGGCAATCATAAGGGAAATATCGTCGGCTCTGGAACAATTGGTAATGGTAAATTCCCTTATATTAATAATATTCTTTTAGTCAAAGGTCTGATGAATAACTTTTGTCAATCATTCAACTTAGTGACAATGGTTATGATGTCATTTTTAATCAAACATAAAGATTTTAGTCAGAAGGATGGCTCAGTTATGTTCAATGGCAAGAGGATGAATAATACTTACAAAATAAGATTATCAGATTTTAACATTCAAAATGTAAAATGTCTTCAGATTGGTCAAGAAGAGAAATGGGTCTAGCATCAACGTTTGGGTCATGTTATCTTGAGAAAGATTTCTCAACTAAATAAACTCAGAATTAGTCAGAGGCTTGCCCAATCTGAAATATATTTCAAATGCTTTACGAAGCTTGTTAGAAAAGCAAATTTTCAAAAACCTCCTTCAAATATAAAAATATTGTTTCTACTTCTAGGCCATTAGAACATCTTCACATTGACCTATTTGGACCAGTGAAAACTTCTTATGTCAATGGTAATAAATTTGTACTTGTCATCATTGATGATTATAGAAGATGGACATGGGTAAAATTCTTGAAACACAAGGATGATTCATACTCGGCATTTGCTTCCTTCTGTTCCCAAGTGCAAAATGAAAAAGATTTCAAAATAGTCAGAGTTCGAAGTGATCATGGTGGAGAATTTGAAAATAAGGTTTTTGAAAAACTTTTTGATTCAAATGGCATAGTACATAATTTTTCTTGTCCTTGAACTCCACAAAAAATGGGGTGTAGAAAGGAAAAATAGAACACTGCAAGAAATGGATCGTACCATGATTCAAGAAACTTAGATGGCTAAGCACTTCTAGGAAGAAGTAGTGAATACATCATGTTATATTAAAAATAGAATCTCCATAAGCCCTATTTTGATTAAGACTCCTTATGAATTGTGGAAGAATAGAAAGCCCAAAATTTCCTATTTTCATCCATTTGGATGTACTCGTTATATGTTAAACACTAAAGAGAATCTAGGTAAGTTTGATTCCAAGGCACATAAGTTTTTTCTATTAGGATACTTTTAATGTTCTAAAGGCTTCGAAATCTATAACACATAATCAAAAATTGTGGAAGAATCAATCCATGTCAGATTTGAGGATAAGCTTGACCATCAAAAGTCAAAGCTATATGAAAAGCTTGCAGATGTAACTATAATGTTCATTGAATCAAAGGGGAAGATTAAAGAAGATAAAGAATTATAAGCTCCTTCTCCTGATGTTGTTGATAGTCCCTCTAATAATCCTCAACCCAGAAAGAATAGAATCACATCCTCCCATCCTGAAGATCTCATTCTTGGAAGTAAAGATGCTTCATTTAGAAAAAGACCGACTCTCAAACGTTCTAATGAAGTGTTTTTGGGTTTAGTTTCTTTAATATAACCTACATATATTGAGAAAGCATTTCTATATAAGGATTGGATTCTGGCTATGGAAGAAGAACTGAACTAATTTTCAAAGAATGGTGTATGGGATCTTGTTCAGAAACCTAAAGGTGTCCACGTCATTGGAACCATATGGGTGTTTAGAAACGAGCTCAATGAGAAGGGTGAAGTTGTCAGAAACAAAGCTCGATTGGTTGCATAAGGTTATAGTCAACAAGAAGGTATAGACTATACATAAACCTTTGCACCATTCTCCAGGTTAGAAGCTATTCGGTTGTTAGTTTCCTATTATGTAAATCATAATATCATCCTTTATCAGATGGATGTAAAGAGTGCATTTCTGAATGGTTATATTTCAGAAGAAGTGTATGTCAAACATCCTTCTGGCTTTGAAAAATTTGAGAAATCATACTTTGATTTTAAATTAAAAAAATCTCTTCATGGCTTGAAACAAGCTCCCAGAGCTTGGTATGATAGATTGAGAAATTTTCTTTTAGAAAATAAGTTTACTAGAGGAAAGGTTGATACTACACTTTTTGAAAAACATTAAAAAATGATATTCTAATTGTTCAAATTGATGTTGATGATATTTTTTTGGTTCAGATAATCGATCTCGTTGCGAGGAATTCTCTAAGCTAATGCAGACTGAATTTGAAATGAGCATGATGGGAGAAATGAAGTTCTTTCTAGGAATCCAGATTGATTAAAAACCAAAGGCTAGTTACATACATCAAAGTAAATACACCAAAGAACTTCTAAAGAAATTCAACATGACAAACTGTACTATAGCAAAGACTCCAATGCATCCTACATTTATTTTGGAGAAAGAAGAGGTAAGTGGAAAGGTTTGTCAGAATCTCGATTGTGGTATGATAGGCTATCTTATGCATCTGACTGCATCTAGACCTGATAATTTTATTTAGTGTCCATCTTTGTACTAGATTGCAATATGATCATAGGGAATCTCATCTAACTAATGTTAAAAGGATTATAAGGTATCTAAAAGGAACCCCTAACCTTGGCTTGATGTATGATAAAACATCAGAGTATTCTCTTTCTGGTTTCTGTGATGCAGACTACGCTGGAGATCGACTACAAAGGAAATGTACTTCTGGAAACTGTCAGTTTCTAGGCAAGAATCTGATCTCATGGTCAAGCAAGAGGAAATCAACAATTTCTCTTTCAACAATAGAAGCGGAATACATATCAACAACATTGTCCACTCAGATGCTATGGATAAAGAATCAACTAAAAGATTACTAGATATTTGAGAGTAACATCTCTATCTTTTGTTATAATACAATCGTTATTTGCTTAAGTAAGAATCCTAACCTATACTACAGGGCTAAACACATAGAAATCAAACATCAATTTATTAAAGATTATGTTGAGAAAGGGATTCTATCTTTAAAATTTATAGATACAGACCATCAATGGGCTGATATTTTTACAAAACCCTTAACTGAAGATAGATTTTTATTTATTCTAAAGAATCTGAAAATGGATCTCTGTCCAGAGTAAGATGTCATTAGAATCAACCATGTTTTAGTCGTAGTCTGAAGGAAGAAGATTGACTTAATCAAAATACTTCTAATTTGTTTTATCTCAGTCATCAGAAGATATTTTGGTCAGAAATATCCCTAGTCATATG